TTTTTCTTTGAACTGCAGAAATTTCACAGCTCCCTTCTTTTTCTCTATTTAAGTTCTCCGAAGGGAAGTTTTCTATTTTCATTCCCTACAGGAAGAAAACAACCCTCCTCTTCTGATGCCTCCTCCCACCTCACAACAAATCCAGACCACGATGCACAAAAAGAGCAGAGATTAAAAGCTTTCAGATAGAAATCTTCAGATGAATAATAGCAACATAATCCCAAAGAAAAAAATGTATATATATTCCTTGATGTGGCACTCTGAACTACAGCCCACAGGCACTGCCAAGGCCCCTCCCCAGCCCGACCCCACTTCCAAGCTGCCTGGCTCAGCACGGCCAGACACCGGGGGCAGGGTGGGCAGCACTGGCAGCAGGTGCTGAGTGAGCGCCTTCCTGCTGCTGTGGGCAAGCAGCTCTCCAGGCCTCCGAGGGACGTCCCACACACAGCACAGGATCCGGACACTGCTTAATGCTCATTCCGTATCAGCCCAAACTTCTGGATGATAAGAACTACCAGACAACAATCTAATGTGTCTACCACAGTTAGGCTGTAAGGTTTAAAAACATAAGAAGCACAATCCATTTCGTTTTCACCCCCAAACACAGATTTAAAGTCTCGTTTACTGAGCAACAGAATTCCTTATTAAAAACAGTAATTAAAAAAAACAAACCTTCAAAGAAATAGTTCCACTGAACTGTCATGCAACATGCCAGATGCAAACAGAATCCCCAAACCCTGTGATCTTTCTACTAATGCGTGATAACCAACTTCTCCAGCTAACATGGGTGGTTCTAAGAACTTTTTGATTGTTTAAGAGCCGGGTCTTACTAGGAACTTAGTGTCAATGTTTGGATACAAACTACAGAGCTATATGAACAGGCATCAACAAACTCAACATAGAAGTTTCAGCGTTACATGTTAACTGGGTATAAAGGCATCACAGTCCTAGTCTTCCAAGGCTTTCACAAAAATGCTACTACCTGCACCAATTAAGCTCCAAACAAGCCTCTCCCCATCAAAGCCCAGCACTTCCCTGCTCCACGCACACCAGGCAGGCACGGAGGAGCCCAATGTGAGAAGCAAGGCGTCCTTCTTGTCACAGGCAAGCACAGCCACAAGGCAGAAACAAAAAGTAAACAAGACAGCTCCGGCCCTTATTTCTGACACCTGAGGACACAGCTAAGGATGACAAGCCCCCGTTACCTCCTGTGGTGCACACGGCTGTCCACCCCCTGCCCTGACAGCAGGCAACAGCAACTCCAGCAAAGCTAACACCACGGGCCCAGGTGTGTGCCTGCCCCTGTCCGGCATCCCGTGCAGCACTCTGGCGCGCAGGTGCTGCGCCAACGGCCTGTCCATGCAGCCCTCCCATAGCAGAGAAAAGTTGATGGTGGAGCTGGTACTCAGGCCCAAACAGCACGCAGAGGGAAGGAAGGGAGCGGGGAGGGACACGTGCCTCTCCGCAGGTCTGCGGGCAGTCACCGTTACATGCAATTAAAAAGTGGGAACAGGTGTAGTAGATACCATACTTTGATAGCCGAACAAAGAATGTTACAGCACGTGACCAAAATGCGATGACATTTGTTCACCAATCGAAAACAAAAGCCACTCTCCAATGGCACTCTTTCCTCCACCCCCAAGAATTAGGAACTTGGAAACCTCTCCATATTGAAGCTCATCTTCTCCCGGCCTCATTTTTTGACACTTGAGAAGAAGTTGAAGGGAGAACCTCACGCACCCGGCCGCCGCAAACCCACCCCGCGCCCAGGTGCGCCGTCCCGCCCCGGCATGGAACTGCGGCCGCGAAGCGGCTCGCCCGACGGCGGAGCTCCGAATAATGGAGAGGAAGGGAAGAAAAACAACAGCGGGGAAAAAGGAAAACACCACCGCGGAGACGAGCGAAGAAAGGAGCATGCACACGACCAACACACCAAATGGCAGAGTCCCACACAGGGCCGCTCCACCTACGCACGGAGGAGGGCAGGGACGGCAGCGATGAGGACGGGGCACGGCGCGGGCCGGGAGCGGAGCGTCGCTGCGGGCGGCCCGGGGCGGGGGCAGCGGCCGGCGGAGTACAACTTGCAGAAGAAGCGGAATTCTCCCGGCCGCTGCTCGGGCCACAAAGACGAATGAAAAGAAGGTGGAGGAAGGAAGGACTAGAATTAAAAAAAAATAAAAAATAAAAAAAATAAAAATAAAAAATAATAAAAAAAGCCTGCGGCAGCGGGTTTACTACGAACGATCAATCACCGAGAGCGAGCGGCATCGTCCCCCAGCCCGGCACCAAACTTCCCCGGCAGCATCGCGGCGCTGGGCCCGGCCAGAGGGAGCGGGCCCGCAGCCCCTCGTTCCCGCGGGGGCCCGGCGCGGTGTCATCCCGGCCCGCTCCTCCCCCCGCCCGGCCGCCACCTCCCTCGGCCCCGCGTCCCCCTCCTCCTCCTCGCCCCGCCCGCAAACTTCTGGCGGGGCCCCGGGGGCCGCAGCGCCCCGGGACGCTGCACCCCCCCCCCCCCACCCCCACAACCACACAGACAGACAGACACACAGACACACACACACACACCTCCCCGGGGAGGGGCCGGGGGCGGCGGCGAAGTTGCGGCGCAAGTTGGGCGCGGGGCGGGGGGCGGCGGGGTCGGGGGGGGGGCAGGGAGGAGGAGGAGGAGGAGGAGGAGGAGAGGAGGAAGGCGGGATACTACACCCTGCTGGCGGCGGTGCGGCGGCGGCGGGCCCCCTGGCAGGACCTGGCTGCGAGGGGGAGGACTCTTCTTCATAGGGGGAGGGTGCTGGGGCCGCCGCTCCTCCGGGCCTCCCTGTGCCCCTCTTCCGGGCGCCTCTCTCTCTCTCCTCCTCTCACTTTCTTTAAGCTAAGCGGGGAGTGGAAGATGGTAGGTTGCTCCCTTCTCCTCCTCCTCCTCTTCGCTCGCTCTCGCCTCCGTGGGGTCCTGTTCCTTCCCCCTGTCCGCGGGGGGCTCCTCCTGCGGCGGGGAGGAGGGGGCGGGCGGGGCGGGAGGCACGGAGCCGGCGAGGCGCAGGAGGAGAGAAACTGTGACACAAAAACAAGCCGCGAAGCTGAACTCTTCTTCAATCCCATTCACCCGGCCCGGCCGCAGCACCGCGCCGACGGATCCCTCCGCCGACGGCCTCCCTGCCTGCCTGACGCGCGCTCCCGACGCGCCGCCGAGCGCGTCCCCGCCCGCCCCCGCCCCGCGCCGGGGGGGTCCGGCCCGCCGCCCTCGGAGCCCCCCCGCCGCTCCCGGAGCGCCCCTGCCGTCCCCTCGCCTCCGTGCCGGCGGGGGCGGCCGCGCCGCCTCCTCCCGAGGGGGACTACTTGACGCGTCGGTGCGGCGAATTTATTTCCCTTTGCCTAAGGAACGGGCTGTGCTGCGGCACCCATTGCCTAGGGAAAAAGCCCGGATGTGAAGTGAGTGAAACTAAAGTAGAGTGAAGTAGGGCACCAAACTCTGCCGGAGCCGCGCCGCGCCGCCTCCCTCAGCCGCCCCCCGAGCGGCGGCGGCCGCCGCCGCTCGGG